TGAACAGTTTGACAGTGATTATTCTCGATTTGTGGTAAATGCACAACATCACCTTAGAGTGAAAGCGCATCACGGAGATCCACAACACCATAGCCTTTGCACTATTGCAGACTTGGACCAAATTCTGAGCATGGGATGGAAGATCTCTTATCAGATTGCCACAGAACTGTTGTCTTCTAAACACACAAAGACTGGTGTTTGTAACACACACCCCTTGCCAGACAGCACTTGCATGGGATGCAACATTGATGTAAACACATTCCCTCAATTTCACTAATATTAGTGGCACTCTGGAAGTTGGCTCTATCAGACAACACACAAATGAAAACACTGTTCGGGCCGAGTAAAAGGTGGACACACCTCCTTTAGTCTTTACTAATAGTTTAGCTAAGAAAAGTTCTCAATAATTCGGGACTACTGTCTGTTCTTCAGTTGAACATGTCTGCATTTTCGGGACTGTTCCACATACACACGTACGTGCTATCCTCACATTCAGGAGCCACTTGCAGTATTCCTCTATGTCCCACTGATAGACTCCTTAACCATGTGGCAAATATGAATAATAAAACCCTATGCATGATGGGAAACATCAGGTCTGCAGCCAACATCAGTTTGGTTAGGAACATTGCTTGAGAAAGAAGCTATTAAAGAACTGCTCAAAGGCCCTGTGGTTGGCTGTATCATGTTGCTTCTTGTCATTAGTATTGGAGTCTCTTCAGCAAGCTCCTCATGAGGCACTATAATCCTCGTGTCACTATAATTTGTCTTAGTTAAGAAAGACACGATTCTGGTAACCTTGGCTATTGACAGATGCAGTGAGTTACAAGCTCTCATTAGCTGATTTAGCAGTCTTTCAGGCTGACTCAAACTCGCACATACAGTTACTTGCTACTGGACTTTCTGTTGCAGAGTTGGACTTGGGCATTTATCAGGACAGTTGCAGGTAGCTTCTACCCTTGGGGGCCCTTGGCTAGGTTGAGTTTTCTGTATTGTAAATGTTTTGTTAACTTCTTTCGTTTGCAATGAGGCATCATCATTCAAGTTATGGCTGTTCATTTTCAGAGTGTTTGGTATGCATTTATTATTCTGTTCGAATGTATGCATTGAATTCACACTGTGTCTTAATTGGGATTGGGATTGGTGCGACCGTGGTTCCTGTGGATTTGCCCTCTTATTTTCTGGCTCAAGCCCATTTTATATAACTTATCCAACACAAATATTGATATTGATTGGAGTGACGCCATAAACTATAAGGCTGCTTCATTACTCCAACCTGTTTATTATTCACTCTAAATACTTACCTATATAAAGCTACCAACCCACCTCCCAGCCACTGGCGCTTTGTCCTTTGGAAGCTAATGTGCCTCAGCATGGACCATTCTACTGATTTTACCCATAATTCCTGGAGGTACACCTGGTGGGCAATACTACTATTTTTAATTCGGATAGGGGGTGGTTATTTATTATTATATTATTATATTATTATATTTCAATTCGGCTGGTATTAGGTGCTTGCAAACGATGCAAAAGACCTGAATGTTTGCATTATATTTTCAATTGTGCTTTTTAATCAACCTGACTGGCATAAATAGCTAATTTAGACTTTTTAGCTCCGCTATTGACAAAGTCGACACATCAGAGCTGTTCATTGGCCGTTGTCGCCTGTCGTCAACTTTACAATTCTTCTTCAAAACCGCAAGTCAGAATGTTTTCAAATTTGATATGCAAGTACCTTTGATGGTTCTTTCTCAGATTTGTTCATTTCATGTCAAAATCTTAAATTCTCTATTTTTGATGAATATTTTTGTCATTTTTGGTAAAAAGTAATATTTTCGACTATTTTCTTTGATTGCTTTGATATCACATATATAGGTACTACATGTGAACCTCTCAGATCTGTTCATTTCATGATGATATCGTCAATTCTCTAATTTTAATGAATATTTTTGTCTTTTTTGGTAAAAAGTGATACACAGCGGAGCTGTTCATATTACTGATTGTCCGCCGTCGTATGTCTTCATCCGTTGTCGTCGTCGTCAACTTTACAATTTCAACTTCTTCTTCAAAACCACAAGTCAGAATGTTTCCAAATATGGTATGCAAGTACCTTGGATGGTTCTTTTTCAGATTTGTTCATTTCATGTCAAAATCGCAAATTCTCTATTTTTGGTGAATATTTTTGTCATTTTTGGTAAAAAGAGATATTTTTGACTTCTTGTTAAAAACCATAAGTCCGATTGCTTTGATATTGCATATATAGATACTACATGTGGACCTCTCTCAGATCTGTTTATTTTGTGATGATATTTTTAATTATCTGATTTTGGTGAATATTTTTGTTAAGAAGTGATACTTTCGACTTCTTGTTAAAAACCAAAA